GTGATGGCGCCTCTCGTGAAGACAAGGCCATCCGACACTTTCCCATTTCAGTTTTAAGCAATTAAACTATAAGAATTTAAGTCTAAAATGTAATAAATAATCCAACAGTAAGTAGTGAACATCACAGTTTGCGGAAATAAAACCAAACACAGCCCGATACCGGGGTGTCACTAGTCATGAGCATCTAAACAATCTGGAATACTCCAAATCAAACTACAGAGTTTAATACAGAAACTAAGAACATGAAGAAATAAGATAGGAAAAAGCTCCGGGCTGTGAACGCCGACAGCTACCTAGAGACTACTTGGATCCGCCTGAGCTAGAAATGATCAGTACTCGGAGCGGGACCAGATACGCCTGAATCTGCACACATGGTGCAGGGAGTAAAGTGAGTACTCCAACTCAGTGAGTAATAATCATAAATAAAGACTGAAAGCAGGAAATCACGTAAGGCACAAGGCATGCTATAATGAAGCAATAAAACCCTTAAAAACAGTAAACCAGTGAAAGATATGTAAAAATCCTTTAACTCAAATTTAACTTCATGAAAAACCTTTTTCAACAATTAAGCAGATAATTTGGCAGGCAATTAAGAAAAAGATAAACACATAAAGGTTCGCCCCTCGGGTACCGTATCAACAAATTTGCCTCTCAGGCAACATCTCTGAATAATACCAGCCCCTCGGGGTCAATCTCACATCACAACAGGTACCCGCGCTCACTGCGGGTGTGCAGACTCCTGGAGGGGCCCCTTATGGCCCAAGTGCAATATCAAGTCATCTCGTGGAATCATCACTAGGCTCTCGGCCTCATATCAATCAAGCCACCTTGTGGCATACATATCTACGGCCCTCGGCCTCATAATCATAACCAAATGTTTCCTCACAACATAGGCCCTCGGCCTTACTCAGTCAAAATCCTCACAAGTCACTGGGGCAAAAGTAAAACTGTGATTCTCAGCCCAATTATCATCTGAAAGATCATTTAAGTAATAAAATAGAGTAAACATGGTTGAGTATGAAAACAATGGAAAATAACATGACTGAGTTCAAGTATAAAGTCAAAGCAGTGAGAAAATATCAATAAAAATCCCCGAAAGGTTCAAATAGTTAGCACAAGGCCCAAATATGGCATTCATCCCAAATCATGATGATAGCAAATAGATTTCAATCAAATATGCGGTAAAATAGTCATTTGGGACGGACTAAGTCACAATTCCCAATAGTGCACGACCCCACGCTTGTCATCAAGCGTGTGCGTCACCTTAATGTAGCACAACGATGTGCAAGTTTGTGGTTTCATACCAAACATCATTTACAATCATTACTCACCTCGAACTGGTCAAATTTCTAACTCGCGATACCTTTGCCCCTCGAATCGGTCTCCACTCGCGTCGAATCTATCCAAAATCAGAACCATGACATCAAAATATGCTAATGGAACGAAGCCTATCAATCCCGAAATTACAAGGACCCAACCCCCGGGACCACGTCTCGAAATTTGATAATTTTTACATTAGCAGATTCTTTATCTCCCCACGAGTTCATACATATCAAAGTTCTAAAATCCGACCTCAAATGGTCCTTCAAATTCTCAAGCAAAGGTCTAAGTTTCGAAGCCCTAATTTCCCCAATTTTAGCCCTTAAATTCCATTAATTATATCTCTAATCCGTGAAATAATAGCATATAAATGAGTTTTAAGTTCAAATTCCTTACATCAATGAAGTTCCCTTGAAATCCCTCTTCAAAATCATCCAAAAAGCTCCCAAGCCGAATTAGAAATGGTGAAAATAGCTCAAAATCGCGTAGGTGACAATTTATACCTTCAGCCCAGACATTTTTGCATCTGCGGCCCTATAACCGCTTCTGCGGTACAGCATTTGCGGCCAATCAACCGCTTCTGCGGTTTTCACTTATGTTCCTCTATTCCGCATCCGCGATCCCTTATCCGCATCTACGACATCGCAGATGCGGTTCTCCTCACCGCTTCTGCGGTTTCCTGCCTACATCCCAACTTATGCTTCTGTGACCTTTATCCCGCATATGCGGTGTCGCACCTGCGGTCTCCAAGCTGTAGCTGCATAAATACCAGAAGTAGCACAATCTACAGCTGCAACAATTCCTCAAACTCCCAAAATCTTCCGAATTCCGAATTCCACTTTTGATCAAAACCCCAACCAAACCATATTTGAATAACCTGATATTTTGCACACACATTCCAAATGACACAACAGAACTACTACAACTCTCGAAATTCCATTCCGACCCATATACCAAAATCTCACCTACCAACCGGAAATCGCCAAAATATCAACTTCGTCAATTCAAGCCTAAATCTACTCCGAACCTCCAAAACTCATTCTGATCATGCTCCTAAGTCCAAAATCACCTCCCAAAGCTATCCGAACCATTGAAACTCACATCTGAGCCCTATAACACATAAGTCAACATCCGGTTGACTTTTTCCAACTTAAGCTTTCTCAAAAGAGACTAAGTGTCTCAAACCTTACCAAAATCATTCCAGATTTGATCCGATCAACCCGATACCACATAACACAGATAAACAAAGCATAAAGAAGCAGAAATGGGGGAAACGAAGTGGTAACTCATGAGACGACTGACTGAGTCGTCACAAGGGTTCTGCCCTCCATTTAGATGTATCACCTCTATCTCTGGAATGGATCATTGTCTGCAACAAACAAGCAATGAAACACAGTCAGAATAAAGCTTTAAGCATATGTTAAAATAGTGCAGACGAAATGCAAATACTGCTTCTCAGGACAAGGCACCACGAACCGCGAAAAAGTGAACACAGTCGCAGAAGGCCCAACACGGATCGCGAAAAAATGAATGTGGCCGTAAAGAGGTTAGGTTCAGAATAATAACTCTCTGATCTTAGTCGAACGCAGATCGCGAAATAATGAAGGCAGATGCGAACAACCAAATGCGGACCGCGGAAAAGTGGACGCAACCGCGAAAGCTATTATCAGACTCTCTGAAGTTCAAGAGCGCGGTCCGCGAAAACAAGGACACGGCCATGAAGAACCAACTGCGGACCATGTAAAAGTGATCGTGGTCACAAACTCGAATCAATAATCAGTAGTTAAAAGTTAGGGTTTCGCAAACTGCGAAAAACTGAAAGCGGTCGCATACTCTAATGCGGACAACGTAAAACTGGTCATGGCCGCGAAATTCAAACGCGACTAATATTAATGAACACATTAACCTAGGGTTTTCACTAAGTGCGCAAAAATCCCTTCAATTAGCATTCAAAGTTACAAACTCTATTCCCATTAGGCATGTAAACATTTCCTACATGTGTTTAAGCAGTAATTGATTATGGGATATATTTAACTCTAACTAAAAACTAAAAAGAATAATTAAAACAAAAAGGAAAGAAAAGAAATAGATAAAATCAATTCAAGGACTTGAACATACCAGTTGTGAAATTTTAGTAGGAAAAGAACTCTTGGTTAGAAAGAGATGAGATTGAGAGCCAGAGAAGATGAATAGTAGTTTTGTGCGGTGAAACTTTAGGGTTCGAAAAAGTATAAAAGACTTAAGGACCCCCTATTTATATTTAGCAGATGTGGAACCCACCGACTAACCTGAGCGCAGCAGTGAAATTTTGTCGCGGTTTGCGCTTTGTTACCTTATGTAGAGCAGCTTCAAATATCTGATCGCGGTCCGCAAAATATTGACCGCGGCCGCCAAATTACCGTGGTCCAAGAAAATGTGAACGCGACCGCGAATCATGAAGGGGCTGTGCTAGACCAACTTCAAAGAGTTGGCATTTTTCATAAACCAGCTACATGGTCCGCATCAAAATTCTGCGGCCGCAAAGTGCTCATACGGTCCGCAAAATGATAGGCACGGTCTGCGGTCTTTTTTTTTGTGCCCCTTAGCCAACTTTTTGCCTTGTCAATTTCTTGCACTGCACAACCAATTCCTACACACACTTCACAACCAGTTAGTCCAAAACAATGCCTAATCTAAGAAGAAAATCAAAAGAAAGAAAAACACATGGGTTGCCTCCCAAGAAGCGCCCGATTTAACGTCTCTGCACGACGCATGTTACCATCATTCACTTGAAATGAACCAATGCCACAACGTGGCCATCATCAACCTCACCAAGGTAGTGCTTCACTCGATGCCCATTGACTCTAAAGATCTCACCATTCTTATTTTTCAAGTCTAGAGCACTAAAGGGAGTTACATGCACCACTTCAAAGGGACCACTCCATTTTGACTTTAGCTTTCTCGAAAACATCCATAACCGAGAGTTGAATAAGAGAGCAAGGTCACCTTCTTTGAATTCTTTGTTCTGGATATATTATCATGTAGGTATTTCATCCTGTCCTTATACAATGACAAACTAGAATAAGCATGGAACCAAAACTCATAAAGTTCATTCAATTTCCCCACCCGAAGATTGGCAGCTACTACTACAAAAAAATAGCATTTAACGATGGACAATATGCGTCGCTAAAGAGCTTTTTTTCGTCGCTTAGCTGGATTAGCGACGGAATTGCGACCGCTTTTCCTTGGTTGCTGATTTGCTCGTTGCTAAGCTCCTAGCGACGAAAAAATTGAATCTGTCGCCAAATTAGCAACGTTCTAGCGACAAATACTATCCGTTGCTACATTTAGCGACAGAAAATCCATCGCCATATTAGCAAATTGTGTCGCTAAATTCATAATGCATTTCATCGTTGGTATACTTTTGCGACGGAAAGTCGGTCGCTAATCTGTCGCCAAATATTTTTAGAGTCATTTCATCTTTTCTTTTAGAGACAAAAATCGTCTATTGCAATCTGTCGCTATATTATTTTATATATTTATTTCTATTACGAAAAATATCTGTCGCAATCTGTCTCAATATCTTTCTCTTTTAGATCTTTTTTATTTATTATTTTAAATTTTCTCCGCTCATGCATTTTGAATGTAAATTATTAGATATCCTAAATAATAGCTAAAGATCATATAAATTAACATGCTTCAAGGTCCAAAATGATATCAAAATGCATATAGCTATTACAATTAAGTTTGAATCATCTCTAACACCAACAATAACTATGCACTCTGTTAGTGCAGGAATCAAACACATCACTAACTCATCCAGATTCCCTATTGATGCTGATTGAGAACTCGAAGGTGGTATTGATGATGAAGCATCTGATCCAGAAGAGCCACGAAGATTCGGCTCGTAGTAGCATTTTACTTGAGATCCAAGACCATATAATCTTCTCTTCTTTTTCCCTCATGCAGCTTCATAATATGTTTTACATTGATCAATATCAGACCGAGTTTATGTTTGTTCCCATAATATTTCTTGATATCTTTCCTGTAAAAGAAGTGTAATAAGTAGTGAAATTAAAACAATCAAGAATGTTGAGCATTTAATTAACCAATAGAGAGGATGCAACTTTTCATATTTGCTGCTATATGCAAGGACAAAATTATGGGAGGATAAAAGTCCCAACAAAATATTATATGATACTATAATTATAATCTAATCATTATCTACGACATCCTAATATTGGAAAATTAAGCTAGAACCTTCCAAGTTCATGTTTTCTTCCTATTTGCAGGCTTATTCTGATTATCCACAGTTCTATCCTTGGTATTGAGATCTTCTCCTGCCATTGCATAACAAAGAAGAAAAACAATGCTTTATTGATTTGGTTTGTCACTCCAATAATTATCATAAATAAGTCGTTAAAATCAATTTGGAGGGAGCCAAAAGATTGAGCTAATTGCTCAACCATTTGTTTTTCTTAGATAAAATATCTCAGAACTCTAAACCACTCTATTCTAAAGTTCATTCACATAACCAAAGATACGTTATTGTTGGTAGTATTAGATGCAATTTGGTTTTGGATGTACCAAACTCATTAGCTATACCAACAGCAAAAATGCAAAAGCCACTTACAGAACACTAATTTTAGAATCCACCTCAAGGAAGAAGTCCCATTTCAAATTGGATATTAGTTACCAGATTAGATAAAAAAAATATTGAAAATTTTATTTTTAATACCACAAAGCAAACACGTTGATAGAGAGCAGCTTCACTATCCCTTTTTACATTGTAGTAAATAAGATCATAAAATATTGGACTTACATTCACGATTCGAGCTTTCTCATCAAGAAAAAATTTTCCATCGTGCTCATGTGTATGGACGTACAAATGTATCTCACTTGGTGTTGGGTCTCGATCCTTCTCAACAGCTTATACAAAAAATAATATATTTTTCTTCTTTAGAAATGTTTCTATGCAGTAACAAAATTTAGAAATTTTTTATAGCTAACAAATGATGGAGAAACAACAATTTAAACTCTAAAATAAGTAACAGTGGCAACAGTCAGCAGTAGTAGTAATTAGTTTTCTTCCTTTGCATCTAAATAACATTGGCAGCAGTTATAGTCTATACTCTAAAATGACAGTCAAGTTAGATTAACAATTCATTCTTCCCCTTCAAAGAGTGATTTTCTTTGGAAAAAAACATTGAAGATTTTTGGAACATGGGGATGACTATTGTATTAGCAACAACAGAATAAAGCTTAAAAAAATTCTACCTAAGGAACATGAGAAAGAAGCACAAAGGGAACATATAGTAGTACAGAATATATAATAGCAATCAGTTATTAGAATAAGCAGAAAGATAACTAGTGATAAGGTAGTATGGGCAGAGTGATAGATCTACAACTTCTTCTTAGTTTTTCCACACATATTTACAAGTGAAAGCTCCTATATTCTCTGGTATTCAATAAGGAATATCGTCTTTCTCCATAGGTCAAATAAATTACTACATCTTGTTCAAGTTTAAAATACTAATATTTTTTAACAAGTAGTAGTACTTAAACAAATACCATCCAACCCTCTTTTTTTAAAGTGAAAAAATCACACATACTTAATTGCAAGATACTTTGAAATAATTAATCAATCAACCTTGACCACCAGGTTTTTTCCTCTAACAAGCTATTGGCAAACACAAACTAGAATTCAGCTAAGAGAAACCCAATCAAAGTAAAGTAGTAAACACATTAGCATAGTATATTCTCCTTTTATGTGGAAGAAGAAACATAAAGATGTGTACCACTAAAGATTTCCAAATATTTCAATCAATGCTGCTAACTTGAAAGGAAATATGGTAAATATATTTTTAAGGACATACAAAATAAGATAAATTTACTTGGCCCCTGTAGGAAACGGAACAACTAATTAGATATGAAAGGTCCAACGGAATGAGCACCATAACAATGTTGTAAATAAACATGAAGGTATGTGCAGTGAAACATCAGCTGAGCGTCACATTCTTCAATAATAGACTGACTGGCTACTCACCTGGAACTGGTCGCACATAGAGAGCTCTAGATACATATAGAGAAACATATACACATAGAGAGAGGGGGAGAGATAGAAGTAGAGTGAGATTACCTAAACTTGATTTAACTACTCGTACAAGCAACGACGATGTTAGTTAAGAAGAAATAGAGCTTCACATATCATCACAAGCGGTGAAAGCACCCTATGAAACAAAAAACATAAATTAAATTTCTAATACAAATATCAAAAGCTGTTCGAATTTTTTTTTGTAGATCTGGACAAAAAATTAAACAGACATGCAAGAGAAGATTAATTAGGCCACCAAAAGAATCTGTTAGTTTCATATATTAAACAAAACATTTCTTAGACAAATATACTTGATAATATACACAAATTGGTGGCTTATCTATTTTGGAACCCAAAATTAGTACTAAGCATAAGAAAGAGAGGAAGAAACAAAGCCATCTACAAACCTTAGATTCACGTTGGCTACTAATTTTTGCTCTTGTTCTTAAAATCCCTTACCCAGATTATCTCCCAATTGATTTTTCTCTCCTATGGAAAAAAAATACAAATTACATTTCTAATACAAAATTTGTCTAAAGCTATGTGAAGAAATTTTTTGTAGATCTGGACAAAAAATTAAGAAGATAAGCAGAAGAAGATTAATTAAACTACCAAAGGAATCTACCAAAAAATTCTCGAAACTTTTACAATCCAAGAAGATGACGGTCTATAGAGCCATTTCTATGTCAAAATTAACACAGAAATATGATTGTTATAAGCTTTCATGATATAAAGAAACAATCAAAAGGATGAAACCACATCAGATGACAAAAATTTGTCCAACAAAAAAATCGAAAACATAATATTTGCTAAGCTACAATACTCCAATAACTGTAATATAAAATTCCAACAAAATATCAGTGTTCACTTGAAGTTTTGATTTTATCACATCTAAAGTCAAGAATAACCCAAAATCTGATTCTTATAAAGTTTTGTAAAGTAACAATCAAAGACATGAAATCGATTCAACAAAAAAGTCCCAAAATACAAATTTTGCTAAGCTATATAAATAAATCTCCCAAAGAGATACCAGTTTCAAATAAATCTGATTTTTATCACAAATGATAACAAAAGATTAGTGCTAAGCTTATTTAAGAAGAAACAAAGTCATCTACAAACCTTTGATTCACATTGGCTAATGATTTTTACTCTTGTTCTTGAAAATCCTCATCGTGTGACTTCTACTGATTTTGCTCTCAGCCACCTAATTTTGCTCTCTCTTATGTTTCTGCTGTTTTAGAAGAGACTGATGGTTTACCAAATTTGTGCCCTAGGAAAAATAATAAAGTTGTCTTCAGTGATGGATTTAGCTAAGGACAGGTTCCGTCGCTACAAATAATATTATTTTTTATTAAAAAATACATTATCGACGGAAATTTCCATAGCAAGGAGTTTTAAAATATTTTGATAAACAAATTAAGGCTAGCGACGGATTTTCCGTTGCTAAATCCGTCGCTGGAGTTAAATAAATTTTGTCGCTCAACTTTTGTCGCTAAATCTGTAGGTAAATTAAGGGCGCCAATATTTAGCTCCAACAATTAGGATAAATTTTTGAATTCGTCGCTATTCCATCGCTAGATTAGATACTAACTATTTTTTTCTTTTTTTTCAACGAAACTTTTAGGTCATAGCCAATCTGTCGCTAATCAGTGATGGAACAAAAGTTGTCGCTAAAATCCGTCGCTAATTGCTGTTTTTTTTGTAGTGTACATCCCACTCTAGGTTCAATTTCTTCAACACCCACATGGCCTTATGCTCTAGTTCCACTGAGAGGTGACATGCTTTACCAAATACCAATCGATATGGATACATACCAATTGGAGTCTTGCAAGTTGTTCTATATGCCCATCAAGCATCGTCAAGTTTCCTTAACCAATCAGTCTGGTTTGCATTGACAGACTTGGATAGAATACTCTTGATCTCCCTGTTGGAGACCTCAACCTATCCACTTGCTTGGGGTTGATAGGGAGTTGACACCTTCTAAGTGACACCATACTTAGAGAGTAAAGTGGCAAAGACTTTGTTACAAAAATGAGAACCCCCATCACTAATGATGGCCCTTCGGGTGCCGAACCTTGTAAATATATTTTTCTTCAAGAAGGCCACCACAATCCGTGGTTCATTGTTCGACAAAGCCATAACTTCAACCCACATGGAGACATAATCCACAATAATAAAAATATAAGTGTTCCCACATGAACTCGCAAATGGACCCATAAAGTCGATACCCCACACATCAAAAATGTCGATCTCAAGGATGGTAGTGAGAGGCATCTCATTCTTCTTGGAAATCCCACCATCTCTTTGGCACTCATCACACCACTTGACAAGCTCGGTAGCATCTTTGTACAAGGTAGGCCAATAGAATCCACAACTTAAGACCTTTGTAGCAGTTCTCGCCTGTGACGACCCGACCAGTCGTATCATGAGTTACCACTCTGTTTCCCCATTTCTGCTTCTTTATGCTTTTTTATCCGTATTTTATGGTATCGGGTTGGTCGGATCGAGTCCGGGATGATTTTGGTAAGGTTTGAGACACTTAGTCTCTTTTAAGGAAGTTTGAGGTGGAAAAGTCAACCGGATATTGTCTTATGTGTTAGAGGGCTCGGATGTGAGTTCCGATGGTTCGGTTAGCCTCGGTAGGTGATTCATGACTTAGGAGTGTGATCTTAACGGGTTTTGGAGGTTCAGAATAGAATTAGGCTTGAATTGGCGAAGTTGATATTTTGGCGATTTCCGATTGATAAGCGAGATTTTGATATAGGGGTCGGAATGAAATTCTGAGAGTTGCATTAGCTTCGTTGTGTCATTTGGGATGTGTGTATAAAATTTTAGGTCATTCGGACGTGGTTTAGTTGGGTTTATGATCAAAAGCATATTTCGGAATGTTTTAGAAACTTAGGCTTGAATCCGATATGATTTGGCAGATCTGAAGTTGTTTGAGGCATTTTGATGATTGGAACAAGTTTGAATAAGGTATTGGGTTATGTTTGTGCTTTTGGTTGAGGTCCCGGGGGCCTCAGAATGATTTCGGATGGTCGTCATAGAAGTTGAAAGGTTATTGCAGCTGTTGAGATTTTTTTTCTGCTTCTGATGTTTTTGCACCTGCGGTTTGGGGACCGCAGGTGCAGCGTTGCACGTGTGGAAGGGGAGGTGTAGATGCGGAATGGAGAGGTAGAGTCAGGAACCGCAGATGCAATAGAGGGACCGCACCTGCGGAGTCGCAGATGTGGCGAGTGGTCCGCAAATGCGATATTTGGTCCGATAAGTTATTTCCACAGAAGCGGAGGGTGAACCGCAAATGCGGTACCGCGGAAGCGGATTTTGGACCGCAGATGCGGGCACCCCTGGTCAGATAAATTAAAAGAGTCCTTCGCGAATTTTTGGGTTATTTCACCATTTTTGACTTCGGCTTGAGAGCTTTTGGACGATTTGGAAGAGGGATTTCAAAGGAACTTCGTTAAGGTAAGAATTTTGGACCTAAACACATTTCTATGGTAGTATTTCATGGATTAAGGCTGTAATTAAAGGAATTAAAGGGCTAAAAATGGGGGATTAGGGCTTGAGTTTAAGAGGCCTTAAAATGAGGATTTGAGAGGTCATTTGAACTCCGATTTTGGTATTCTTGATATGCATAGACTCATGGGGAGATGAGGAATCTATTGATGTAGAAATTTCTGAATTTTGAGATGTGGGCCCAGAGGTTGGGTTTTGGTAATTTCGGGATTTGTTCCCTTTGTTGATTGTTTTCACTTGGGCTTTGTTCCTTTAGCATATGTTGACGTACTCGTTCTGATTTTGGATAGATTCGATGCGCACGGAGGCCAATTCGAGGGGCAAAGGCGTCGTGAGCTAGAGATTTAGCCGGTTCAAAGTGAGTAATGATTGTAAATGATGTCCTGAGGGTTTGAAACCCCGGATTGCACATCGTAGTGCTATGTTGAGGCGAGACACACACTTGATGACGAGCGTGGGGTCGTGCACTATTGGGAATTGTGACTTGGTCCATCCCGGTTGATGATATAACCGCGTATTTGACTGAATTTATTTGCTATCATCATGATTTGGGCTGAATGCCAGCTATTTGAACCCTTCAGGGATTTTTATTACTATTTCCTCACTGTTTTGACTTTATACTTGAACTCAATCATGTTAATTTCCACTGTTTTACTACTCAGCCATGTTTACTCAGCTTTTAAGACTTAAATGATATTTTAAATGATGTTTGGGCTAAGAAACACTGTTTTACTATTGCCCGAGAGGCTTGTGATGATTTTTTTGACTGCGTAAGGCAGGGGGCCTACATTGTGAGGAAACATTGATACTGATTTGAGGCCGAGGGCCTAAGATATGTACGCCATGAGGTGGCTTGATTGATATGAGGCGGAGGGCCTAGATTTGATGCCACGAGATGGCTTGTTATTGCGCTTGGGCCGTAAGGGGCCCCTCCAGGAGTCTGCACACCCCCAGTGAGCACAGGTACCCATTGTGATGTGAGATTGAGCCCGAGGGGCTGTTATTGTTCTGAGATGTTGCCCGAGGGGCGGATGTGGTGATACTGTGCCCGATGGGTGAACCTTTATATGTTTATTTTTCATAATTGACTGTCAATTACTTGTTTACTTGTTGAAAGAGGATTTTTCTTGGCTTTTCACTGTTTTACTGCTTTTAAACGGTTTTACTACTTCATTATGGAATGCCTTGTGCCTTACGTGTTTTTTACTTTCAGTCGTTATTTACATTTGTTACTCACTGAATTGGAGTACTCACTTTACTCCCTGCACCCCTATGTGCAGATTCAGGCGTAGCTGGTACCGCTCTCGAGTGCTGATCCCTCCAGTTTCAGGCGAGCATTCGGAGACTACAAGGTAGTTGTTGACATCTGCAGCCCTATGTCTCTACTCTTTTATCATTTCTATTTCCCTTCAAAATTTGTACTAGTTTATGGATTTAGCAGACTTGTATTATGGCTTATAGACGCTCATGACTTGTGGCACTCCGGTTAGGGCTATGTCGGATTGTATTTCCGCTACTTATTATCATTAAATCATGTTTTAGACTGCTTTTATGTTGTTTAACTGCTTTAACAAGTGAATTGGGTTTAGTTGGATGGCCTTGTCTTCACGAGAGGCACCATCACGACCGGGTTCGGGGTTAGGGTCGTGACATCGCCCTACCATGGTGACCACCATAGGGCGAAGAATGATAAGCTTAAAGAATACCCAATTTCTCTTCTTCTGGAACATATCTTCGGATAACACCTTCGGTGCAAATTTTGAAAAGATATGGCTCATCCCAATAATAATCCAAGCAGTCCCGTTTGAGCTTCTTCCTTTGGTTTGAATAGAACTCATTCGGAACAATTCCACTCACAAGATAGTTAGCCACATCGGCAAACCAAGGCATCTCGGTCAAAGACATGGAAAAGAGTTGTTCATCCGAAAACGAATAATTGATCTCAAGGCCATCATGGGGCCTCCCCTCCTCTTCCAAACGGGACAAGTGGTCCGCCACTTGATTCTCACTTCCTTTTTGGTCTATGATTTCAAGATCAAACTCTTGTATAAGAAGTACCCACCTCATCAATCTAGCCTATGGGTCCTTCTTACTCATCAAATAGCGAAACGTCGCGTGATCGGTGTGAACAATCACTTTGGTACCCATGAGGTACGGGTGGAACTTTCCATAGCAAAGACAATGGCTAAGAGTTCTTTCTTGGTCACTGTATAGTTGACTTAGGCGTCGTTCATGGTCTTACTATCATAGTAGACCGGATGGAATATCTTGTTGATTCTTTGCCCCAATACCGCTCCTACCGCCACATCGATAGCATTACACATGAGCTCAAATGGTAAGCTCCAATTTGGTGCGGTACTGATGGGAGTGGTAGTCAACCTATACTTAAGTAGCGCAAAATACTTCATGCAATTATCATTGAACACAAATTTTGCATCTTTTTCCAATAACTTGCACAAGGGGTTCACCACCTTTGAGAAATCCTTGATGAATCGAAGGTAAAACCTCGCATGCCCTAGAAAGCTCCTCACTCTTTTAATGGAAGTAGGAGGAGGGAGTTTTGATATCACTTCAATCTTTGCTTTATCCACTTCAATACCATTCTTGTAGATCTTATGGCCGAGGGCAATGCCTTCCTGTACCATAAAGTGACACTTCTCCGAATTAAGCACCAAGTTAGTCTCTTCACAACGTGCCAAGACTTTATCAAGATTACTCAAATACTCATCAAGAGAATCCCCCAC